TAAAGTCGAAAAAACGTTATTTTGACGTCGAAATGTCGAAATGTTGACGTCGAAATGACATCGAAAAGCTTAGTCGAAATTACGTAAATTTGGTCACAAGAAACACCTCTTTTCGACGTCGAAATAAGATCCAAGGTGACGTTAAACCCAGTGAGAAATGATTCGTCGATCAACATCGAAACGACGTCGAATCGACGAGTCATTTCTCACTGGAAATATTGTCTCTGGCAATATGCTTTAGAGTTTTAAATCAGGTCAAATTTACGTTGATTTTAGATATGGAGACAATTTGCATGCGTACGTTTATATTATCTACATATAGAATGGATTAGTGTGGTAATAGGAGTTGCACGCGTATAAGCCGACAGATATATAAAGACATGTCCAGAAAGAGATAAATACATACATATGTCTGTCTCTTCCTAAATTACCATATTTGTTATAATTACATGTATCCTCATATTACCTGTCTCTTATTCTACCTGTGCAGTCCTTCCACCACGGTCCTTCCACTGTTAGTAATTCACAATTCCACTTTATATGTTGATAATGTATGTATTCACACTGTTCTTATACTTAGAATCGATATATAGTAAATTCGACCTGATATCGATGATAATAAACGCATATTATCCAAAATGCATATTCTATACATACAGGGTCATAGAAAAGTATCGGACCCCCCTAATATCTTCAGTTAGAAGATTTTGGAGAAAATGTATTTCTCCAAAATGCATTCTAACTGAAATGTCTAATAGCACAGTTGTATGGTTTCAAGCGGGGAGTAAGATGATGACCTTGACTTTAATCTTGACCATGTCCTTCAAGGTCATTTCAAGGTCAATCTTTTGTTTAATGGAACCCCCTACATTTTATTCCATATTCTTATAGCTTATCTCGAGAGCTTTCTAAAACACTATAATAAAATATTTTTCATTAAGCACTTTTTGAGTTATAAAGATTTTAAGTTAACAATTTTTTTCCATAAAATGTAAAATATCTTGTAAAATATTATTTAGTTTTCGGTAATCCTAAATTACCATATTTGTTATAATTACATGTATCCTCATATTACCTGTCTCTTATTCTACCTGTGCAGTCCTTCCACCACGGTCCTTCCACTGTTAGTAATTCACAATTCCACTTTATATGTTGATAATGTATGTATTCACACTGTTCTTATACTTAGAACATATTCCACGTCTCATTATTCCGCGCACAAAAGTATTGAGGTTATAAATATAATATTATATGTATATGTATATGTATATCACATACATGCACTAAAATATACAGGGTGTTAATTAAATAGCGCCCACTAATAGTATAGCGTTATTCCTGACTAAAAATTGAGTCGAAAAGTCCTGAACCATTTTTTTCTACAATGCTCAACGAAGCAGTACATATCGAGTAAAGCTAATCCAATCGGCGTTGTCCTTTAGACGGAAGCACGTCAGTGAGCCGCGCGCCTGGTAGTGTGCGTGAGCGCTCCGCCGCATCACGCCACTACATTGCTGTATTCGCACTGCGCTAGCATGCAATATTCTTACGTACCGTATAACGTGAAAAATGTTCTCTTGCACGTCAGAAGACTCTCCTTAAAGAAAATTTCACAGAACTCTCGTTAAAACGGATTAATAATGCTCAATGCCTAAAAAAACCTATAATTTTTCGCTTATAAATTGATTTAAAACTTTTCTATGTAGATTCGAAACTCTGTGCGTCCTTTTACGTAGGATAGACATACATTTTTTTTCTTGATAATATTTGTCAATTAAATTACATTTTGAGTTATCTTTTCTGTAATTCTTCTATGAAAATTGTATTCTTTAACATTTGATTACACAGATGATTTTATTATTTAATAAATCTATTTCTTAAGAAATTTCTACAGAAAATGTAGGGATATGAAGAAAGCGTATTGTAATAAAACAGAAAACAAGACAAACTTCCCCATTATCAATGTACGAAGATTTCGACAAGCACAAAAATGTTACGTTAATTTTTTTTCTAAACAATCCGTTTTTTTCAGAAATCTTTGCGTTAACATTTAAATTTTAAAACGAATCACTTAGTGAATCTTTCTGCGAATGGTCTCGGTAATTTGAAGTAGTAAAGTTTTTTAAAGAATTTATTATATTAATTACCAAATAAAAGAAATTTAAGACTGTAAAGCAATATGAGAAGGTTAACGACCAAGGACGGGCAAATCAGGATAGTAAAATAATATTAGTAGATAAATATGTAATTTATTCTGTAATAATTTAGAAGAGAACAATGTACGTTTTGACAATCTCGTCAAAAGCTAGCCGACAGGATTCGAACCTGGACCTCTCTTCATTCCCTTCATTCGAGTTGGAAAGTATTCACAGAAAAAAATTATTAAGCTACCTAAGATCATGGTTGGTCGATAATGGCACTCATGCTCATCCTTTCTATTCATTTTAAATCATAGCGGCTGATTTACTTATTTAATATTGTTAATTTATTATTTTTTTTATTCGCTTAATTTTAATATCATAACTACTTTATCTAGTACGCGCAGCGCAGAGGGAAGTGACGCAGACAGCAGCGTTCTCAGGAGCGTAGCAAGGGAAGGTAGAAGCAGGGCACGGAGGGCAAGTACCGGAGGGGATGGAAGAGGAGATACACACGACAGAGGTATTGATAGGGAAAGGAAAAGAAGGCAACGAGGGGGGAGAGAGACAGGGAGTGAAGGGACCGAGGGATAACAAGGAGGAGAAGGAGAGTGCGAGACAGACGACGTCGGCAAATACAACGCCGAAGGCTAGAGGGAGACCGACGAAGGCAGTGGCCCAGATAAAAGAGAGAGAGCAATAAGCGAAGGAAGACTGCGGGAGTACCTAGAGAAGAAGAGAAAGAGACAAGAGGTGGATTGCAGCGAGGAGGTAAAGGAGGAGGAGGAGAGGAAGCACATGCTGAAGAGAAGTCAGAAGACCAGAAGGACACCAACAAAAGAGGAGTTGAAAGAAGAAGATAAAGAGAAGAACAGGACGGAAGAAGGAGAGGAAAAAGGCATAAACACAGGAGACGAGGAGAAGAAAGAAGAGAATAGGATGGAGGAGAAGAGCGACAGGGAACTACTACTGAGGATTTGCGAGGAATTAAGAGAGATGAAGACGGAGGCGGCAAAAAATAGAGTCGAGGAGAAGAAAGAAAGAGAAGAGGAAATGGAGACTTTGAAAAGAGAGATAAAACGAATAGAAGACAAAAGAGAACAAGAAGTGAAGGAGCTAAAAGAAAAGATGGAGACAGTCAAGACGGTGTTCAAGGAGACAGTACAAATGCTGGAGGATAAAATAAAAAACCTGGAAAGAGAGGTAGGGGACAGAAGAGTGGGGGTGGCAGTAGGAGAAGGGAAAAAGGAGGAGGTGACGAGCTGGATGAGAACATTGGAAAAGAAGATAGAAGAAAGAAGAGAGGTGAACAAAGTGGTGGAAGAGAAAAGGTTAAGTGACATTGAGGACAAATTAGAGGCGAGAGAGAGGCTAGACAGGAGAAATAACATTATAATAAAGGGACTAGAATTAGAAAGGGGAGGAGAAGCCAGAGGTAAGGTGAAAGAGTTTCTCAGAATGCAGTTCGGAGTAAAGGAGGAAGCGATAGAAGAGGTAAAGGTGGTAGGAAGGGAAACGAGAATGATATGGGTGAGAATAAGGAGCAGAGAGGAGAAGGAAGAAATAATGAGTAATAAGAATAGGCTAGGAAAGGAGATTTATATAGAGAACGATCTGACATGGAAGGAGAAGGTGTTGCAGAGGAAAATAGGAGGAATAGCAAGGGGGGAAAGAGCAAAAGGGAAAAGAGTGAAAGTGGTATACAGGGGAATGATAGTAGACGGGAAGAGATACGAACGGAGTGAGGAGTCAGGGGAGATGAAGGAAAGAATGGGTTTTTAGAAGCGAGAGAGATAAGGATTGTTGTGCCCCGATTGCCGAAAGAGGTAACGAGGGCACTCAAGCAGTATTACTGCAATTAGAATAACACTAGCGTAAGCATATTGCGCGATCGAGCCACAAAAGCCCGACCGCGCAACCTAATTAAATTCGGAGAAGAAGTCAGCAAGTTCTCGACCCGATTACGCATAACCTCGATCGAGTACCGAGAAACCTCGATCGAGTACCGAGAACGCTGACGCCTCGATCATCGGGTTTAAAACCGGAGGAAAGCCCGAGATCGAGGCACTTGTCACTATCGCGCATCCGATAACATACTGTACGCGTTAAACACTTGTCCGTCAGGCCTTCGGCCTGCCG